CAACAACCCATGGCTGGGAGGACCCTCACCCTGATGGCAGCGACCAAAAACTTGGAGATTAACCCCCCAAGCCCCCCAAAACACCTTAGTTAGGTGGCTGTGACCCCTCAGCCAGCCCCACTGCCTGCCCTGACCGCCAGAGCTCCCTCTCACCCTCCAAAGCCCCTCGGTAGGTGTGGGATGTTCTCCTCCCCCTCCTGCAATTCATCCCACAGAATTTCCCACCAGGAAACAGCTTCATTACATCAACAACAGGAAGACCCCACTGATTTGTCACACAGAAAAGCAGCTGTTAGTCACACATCAAGGGAATAGGGGAAGGGGAAAAAAAAAAAACTTCACCTTTTTTTTTTTTTTGCTTTAATGTTCCTAACGTTAATGGCTCTGCAGAGGGAAGTGAGTCCCGGCCATTCCATAACTAACCATCACCAGCGAGTATCAGTTAATATCCGAGTGTCTTCCTGCTTTTCCTGCTACATGATTGCTTTGGAAAGAAAGATTAATTCCAACTTTAAAAAAGAAAACACTATTTTTATCATTGCCAGGAGTCTATACGGGCTTAAAAAAGAAAAAGCACTTGCTTGTCGTTTTACATCTTGCAATTTTGTCAGTTGTTTTAAAACATGTCTCCTGTAATAAATAAGATCATTTTTATGCACTTGTTCTGCAGCTAAAAGCGAGGCCTGGGCTGGCTGAGGAGCAGAGGGACTCCGGGATGGAGCCGGGCAGGGAAAACGCTGACTCCGAAGGTTTTGCTTCCACGGAGCAGCTGGAGGGGCTGAGGGGTGGCCAGTGGGGGATTTACCTGGGAGATGGCAGGTGCACAACGAGCACCGAGGCACAGATAAACGCCTGGATTTAGGAAGTGTCTTGGATCCCCCTCCTGCAGCAGCAGCCGGAGCCATCCCCTGACACCCCCCCAAGACTTCCATGGGACCCATCCGGGGACCTGCAGTGCCCAGGCTGCCCCTCTGCCCTGCCCCTCATGGCAGACATCCCCTCAGCTGCCTGCTGAGGTGGGAGATGGTGCCCACCCACCCCTCAAAGCTGTCCCCCCCACACCCCAGCCCCGCTTGTCCCATTTTCCCTTAAACCACATCCAGCAGCACTGAAACAGGAAAGATTTATTCCGGAGTCAGAGCACAGCAGAGGGGAGTTACAGCCATTTAAATTCATGCCTTATCCTATCCCACCACAATTTGCCAGGCAGGTAGCAGTGTTCAGATGCCTCTCTCCTCCCTGGCTGCTCTGCACCCGCTGGCACTTGGGATGCCAGTGCCATGGGACAGAAAATTCCCAACACCAAGAACAACTTCTGTGTGCCAGCAACACCAGAACACGTTGGATTTTTCCGCTCAAGAGCAGAGGAAAATGGAGAATAAAAGCACAGAGCCACAAGTACATTCCTGCACTGATCCCAGCTGCAGAGCAGGTGGGTAAAGAAACACCCTGGACTCCCCAGGAAAAGCACTTTATTTTGGTGCAGTTCTCGTTCTGTGTGGTTTGTGTAATGATGCCTCGGAAAGCAAATTCCTGGAAGTCCAGAGTGCCATCCTATCCATCACTGAGGGCAGGCTCCTGCACAGGCAGCTCCACAGGCAGGGCTGGGACTGCGGGGGTTTCCAGCCCTCCCTGCACAACACTCATTTTCCAGTTGGCTTTTCCTCACTCTCCACAAACCCCTGGTGCACCGTGTGACCCTTCCTCTGGAACACACCCTTCTGCCCCCTCAGAGCCGTGGGACAAGGTGGGAAGGGCCCATGGAGCGAGAGGCACCCCCACTGTGTGTCACCCGAAAGCCCTGCTCAGAGTCATCCCAAGTTACTGGAAGATCTTGAACTTAAAGAAAAACTCAATTCCCTGTTCCCCAGCCTCGCTACTCAGGTCTCAAAGACATCAGAGCCCACAGGCACCTTCAGGACTCTGCACCAGGAACACGTCCTTGGCAAAATCAAACCTCTTTAATGGCAGCCCAGGTGGGGCAAGTCCTGCTTAGGGACGAAAACATCATCAGTCATTGCTGAAAGCACTCCCCGAGGCTTCTGGTCTTCTTTGGCTTTGCTTCTATTCCAAATATTTTGCTTTTCCTTTGGTGCCAGTGTTATTTTTACTGGGCAAGGGTCTCACTGCTCTTATTTGAACAACCCTTGTGCAATCTCTGAGCAGAGAGGGGCCTGCCATGGAGCAGAACGGGACACGGAACAGGGAATTTTAATTTTCTCCCCTCTGGTTACTGTTCTCTTTGATAAAAACAGGCCCCACGTGGATTTTACAGGCGAGGATCTAACCGGCGCCGGGAAGGGCATCGGCACGGAGCAGGATTCATCATTATCCACAGGATCCCTTTGATGAAGCTGATCCAGAAAAGGTCTCTGTGTGCCAGCACCAGGGCAGGATCAGGCCTTGGGAACGACCCAGGGTTTGGGGAAGGACAAACACAGCCCTGGAGGTGTCTCTGCTCCGTGCCCTCGCTCCGCTCCAGCGCCCGTGGCGGCATCGCCGCTGCCCTAAGCACTTGTCCCACCTGATTTTGGGTTGCTCTGTTAGGGCCGTGTTGTTGTTGGCAAACAACTCGAGTGACTTTGAGGAAAGGGTGTTTTTTTTTCTGTTTCCTCCTTCCTTGAATGGCTCTTTTGAACGGCAGCGCCTCTCCGCTTACATCCCGCTGTCCGGATTGAATCAATCTTGCGGTCAGCTTTGGGAGGGGGGGGAAGAAAAGAGAAGAAAAAAGCCTCACAAAGAGGGAAAATTGACAGCTCCGACCCTGGGAGTGATTGATAGTGGTTGGAGAAGCAGGACTCAACGTGGGGCTGCGCCAGGGCAATGCCAGTGCTTGCTGGGGAAATCCAGCAAAGCCTTTTTTCCCAGAACTCGGAGCAGCGGGCTTGGAGAGGGGTGGCCACATGAACTTAATAATAGGAACATTGTTGGAACATAAAGCATCTGTCAGGAGTTAATATGATTTATTAGAGGTGTCTGTCTCTCCCCTTCTTTCTCTTCTCCCTCGCCAGGTGGGCAGGAGAGGCCTGAAACCCAAACCCAGGGAGGGCAGAGGTGGGGCTGGAACGGGCACCCAGCCCCACATCGCCTTTCTCCAGGTGAAAGGTTCTCAGTTCTCACCCGATCCTGGCTCCCAGGATTTTCTCCCGTGACTCCACATGCCCATCCCATTGCACATCTCTCCCCAAGCCTCCCATTCTCCCACCAGCTCCACCTGAAGCCCAGGAGAACCAGGGGAGCAGCTCCTGCCCCACCAGGACCCCGCAGTCCCACAGGTGGGACATCGCTTGGGAAAGCTCCAGGATTTATCCAGGTGCCTTGGCTCCTCATGGATAGAGCCTGGCTGAGCTAGGTGGGATGGGGGATCCTCAGCCCCCTATGAGTGGAGCCCCAGGGGTTTGTGAAACTAATTCAGAGATGTCTGGACAAGGTAACCAGAAATAGGAAGTTAACTGTTGGAAGTTTATTAGTTACACATCGGCCTGCACTGGCACAGGAAGATTTTTAAGACTTGGCAAACCACAGAAAGGAGAAAATGCCTGGAAAAAAAGGAGTGTTGTAGGTTCATAAGGGAATTGCCACTTTGTGAGGGTCCTGAGTTAAGAACAGCCCCCATTGCGGGGCACTGGGACAGGACAGGGTACAGCTGCTGGGTGCAGGGTTGGGTCACAGGGCACAGGCACTGGGTGCAGGGTTGGGTGCTGAGCCATTGCAGAAGGGGTGCTGAGCTGTGCCATGCCAAGCTGTGCCAGGCTGATCTTAACTAAGCCATGCCATGGCAGGCAAACCATGCCATGCTAGCAGTGCCACGATACGTGAGCCACGCTGTGCCATTCTAAGCTGTGCCAGCAGTGCCATGTCAGCTGAGCTGTGCCATGCCATGCCAAGCCAGGACACCACTGTCATGCCATGCTAGCCGTGCTGTGATGCTGTTGCAAGGTGTGTTAGTGGCACCACGCCATGGCAGCTGAGCCATGCCTTGCTAAGATGTGCTAGCAGTGCCAAGCCATGCCATGCCGTGTCAGCTGTGCCAAGATGTGCCAGCAGTGCCATGACAAGCCCTCCGAGCCGTGCCACGCCGAGCTGTGCCAGCAAAGCCATGCCATGCCATGGTAAGGTGTGCTAGCAGTGCCAATCATGCCATGCCATGCCAT